AAGTATTTTGATTTCAAATTGGCGATGAATTATAGAATTTGGGGTAAATTACTAGAGAATTGGCTGAATTTAAGGGTTATGACTTTGATGGTTGCTGTTGTTTTTTTGTTTGCAGTTGTTGGTTGTTTCTAAGATTTGAATCCTCTTCCAATTTGAAGCAATTTGAATACTCGTACAATTTCTCCTTCCTTCTTTTTGATATGCTTTCGCCGAACCGACTCGAAATACTAAATTTTTTCCAATTTTACTAAATTTCAAGAAATCAAACATTACAGTTCGGTTTCGATAAACATTTTAAATTCCCAAACTTGTTCGCTTCGATTTTTAATTTGGGGTTTTTGGAGCCTACAAAATTATCGATACCAAGTTGGAGTAGGTGGTCCTAAAAACGTCATGTTTTCGATTTTTTTTTTTAATACAAACATGTTAAGTCAAGTGAGAATGTCTTTATTATTATTATTTTTTATTTATTTATTTTTTTAAGATAACTGGTGGTAAAATACGATTATCTACTTCTTCTGAGAGGTCGGAAAGACTCATAGAGGCATTTTAGCATTTCCCGACCACAAATCTGACTTCCACACCAGCAATGAGTTTCGAACCCTGCGAAAATGTCTTATTCAGTCTTTTTAATTAGAGCCTCATTGGTTTGTATCAAAACTGGACCTTATTGGTCGAGTATTATTGGTATAATACGAAGATAAAATGATTTTAAACTTACCGTTTGAGTCACGTCCTTGAATGATTGCTTTGGTGACGATTGCTGATTAACCACCAACAAAATGGTTAATAAAAACGTTGTTATTTGGCTAATTGACAAACATGGAACATAAAGACAATATACCTGAACCAAGCATAACCATGATGATTACAAGGTTGAGTTGAGGTACCACCTTCGCCATCATATCCCCTTACAATTACTATTTTCTAAAAAAAATAGAACAATCTTACTATTAGATTTGGATTTGTGATTCGTTGCTGTAGCTGTGGGATTGAATTTATAGAGTTGCTTGAATAATTAAAATTATATCAACACAGATTTACTTTTTTATTTTTTTTTCATTTAATATGTGATTCGATAATTGAAATGTCGATAGCGTGACATTTATTTAGTAAATGATGTCAGGGTATACAAGTTTGGGATTGGATTGATAATTTTCTAAACATTTTCGTTTGCTTTTAGAATTAGCTGTATTCAATTGAGATTTTGAGGGATTTTAATGGATTTATAAATTTATGGATTTTGATGCAGTTTAGGAGTGTGTATTCAATTGAGATTTTTAATGGGTTTATAAATTCATAGATTTTGATGCAGTTTTATGAGAGTATTCAATTGAGATTTTGACGGATTTTAGTGGATTTATAAATCCATAAATGCTAATGCAGTTTAATTGATTTGTAAAAATTCCCTGTAAAATTTTGATTTAATTCTCTTAAGTTCTCAGGGAGATGTGAGATTTGTAAATACTTAAAATACACAACAAAATCTCTTCATTTTCCTCGAATTTCTCAATTTTTTAAAATTCTTTAAAATAAAATTCTAATTGAATATATGAATGTAATAAACTTCTTCAAAATCTTAATTGAATACACTCGAATTTTTATGGATTTTAATAAACTTTCTTAAAATCCTAATTGAATGTAGGTTAAATTTCAGAGAATCACTTAAAATTCTAATTGAATACCCCTCTATTCATTAAAAGAATTAAAATATTTCAAAATCCCAATTGAATTGATTTCTAGAGATTTTATGTATAATTTTGACTGAAAGCCCTCAAATTCTCTTAGGAGATGTGACATTTGAAAATGCTTAAAATACACTATGAAATCTCTCAAATTCCCAAACTTTTTTTAAAAAAAAAAATTCTAATTAAATACACTTGGAATGTCATAAACTATATTAAAATCCTGATTAGATACACCTGAACTTGACACGTGAAGTTTTATTCACAATTAACGAGAATGCCCTTGATTAAATTGGCGATGCCCATATCAATTCCACTCGCAATTCAACCACCAAGAGATGTGAGATTTGACTACAACTTCTCGAAGTGACAATTGAATTGAAGGTAGAATTAATAACTAAACCCTACCTTTAAGCTTTCATAATTGAAGACATATTCCTTTATTCAAACCCACTCACATCCAATCAAGGATTCTCCCAAATAATTCTTAGGATATTATTCATTAATTATTTTAATAATGTCTTCAAGCTTCAAGGATTATCCGTGGGACCATCATTGAAGTACAACTCCATCCATTGGATAACACACCTTGACCAACTAAACATTAACATGTGGCATGAAAAATCTACACATGTGGGCGGTTATGCTCCCTATAAAAAGCTCATTCTACACACTTCCGAATGAAGTTGAAGTGAACTCTCTGTAACTTAACCCTAAATCTCTCTCTCTCTAGAGAAACAGACTTAGTCATTGAAGGTTCATTAAATTAATGCGGTGATTTTGATATCTATGGGAAGCAAATTTGAACGCCTATAGTCTTCTACAAAATACCCACCCTTATAAACGCTCAATAGAAAGTCTATATGTTGTGTCTTTGCAGAGACTACTATAGGAGGTTTTGACTTCTATCCATGAAAAAGAGTCCAATCCCTCCATCACAGCGCTATAATATGTTGTTAGTTTTGGTAAATAATATCAAGAGTTCATGACATTAACTTGCCCTTTGATAATAGTCAGCAAGCTAATTACATGTGATTTCATGTAATCATTGATATTAGTCCCTAATTACATTCCTACTAATTTGTAGGATTACTTTAAGGTTGATTTTTGTTTGAATTGAAATTCAACGTTAATGTTAGAATTCAAATCCAACGACACGCTTAGCGCTAGCTTCACTTGTATGTAGTACAAAAGTGTAGATTATTGCACCTAGATTGTTACTTTTGCATGGATTCGTGTGTCTGCATTTTTAATGAGCATATTACATTTGTTGAGATATTTGTTATTTACTAGTGTCCTTAGGATAACTGCTTTTATACTATTCGCTTTAGTTTTTCATGCTTATTTCTAGTATGATTTTGAAAACTATACGGATTTTACAGCGAGGGATTATATGTTGCGAAAAAACAAAGTGGTAGTAAATCCTTATTTTTATTTACTCACACTTTCTGTTTTGTTTTCCTCCAGGACTTAATAGTTGGATCATGTGGCAAGCGAGGGATCATTGATGGATTCAGACATCCACTTTTAACAGTGTAGGAAATTTATTGTCTGTTAGTTGTAAAATATTCATCATAGCCAGGATGAGAATATTCTTTTTTGCTACATTTATACTGATGCTTTGATGTTGCATGCATTGTATTAAGGATTCATTCCACACTATGCACTCTTACTCTTAGTTCTAGACTTTAGTTTTACAAATTTGCATTTTTTTTTACACAGAATTTGTATGTTATGGCTTCGTCATCTTTTAAGTGTCAAGCATTATGCCTCAATTTCGATATCCACTTGAATATCAGAGTTGGAGTGTGTCATCATATGGTTGTTTTGTTTCAACATATGGGAATTCATGCTTTACAAATTGAAGTTGTTTCATAGGTTTTACTGACACTATTTCAAGGATCGCAACGTCCTTGGTGTTGTCTTTCTCTTTTTAATGAGATAAAGATAATGTAAGGCTTACAAATTCATCAAGGAAGATATGTCTGCAATTCACTCTTCAAGTATTGTATATTAGGAATGGGATCCCATCTGGATCCACTTTGTGGGTCGTTTATCGTGTATTGTACGGTCATAAATCATTTGACTTTTTTTATTTAAAATTAAACACAAATAGTATCCGACGAAAACTGATCGCAAAATATACGATGAACGGTTAGAATGTAAGGATCCCTAAGATCCTTACAAAGTGAATCTGAAAATGATCCTCTTCATGTATATTAGACCTCCAACCTCACTAAATACTTAGAGCAGTTCCACCGGGGACTCTTTAGGCTGGCACCCAGCCAATCCACACCATCCCAGAATCGACAGAGCCATAGACCAGCCCATCTAACGTCATGCTAAAGCCAGCGTCATGTCGACCACCTTTTTTTTTCGCCAAAGAGGGAGTTGTTGTGGAGGCTGAGTAGCGGAGCAGGTCGAGGCGGGAGAAGGTGTCAGGAGGGAAGGAACCACAGAGGGAGAAGGATGAGAACACCTAAAACGCACCCATCCCCACCCCTGAACCAATGCATACCACTACAGCACCTCCCAGACTGCCAATACCCATCACTAACCCACCTCAAAAATTCTACCCAACAGACGCAATTCCAAATCCAAATGGGGAGAGAGAAAGAGAGGGAGAGAGAGAGAGAGAGATGCAAATGGAGGTTGACGCGTCGGTAGTGGCAATAGTTGGTGTTTAGGGATGATCGGAGAAACAAATTGAGGAGGATGTAGATGGAGAGTATAGAGCGTTCTAGTGGAACCATGGAGGTTCCAGACTTACCTTTTTTTTTAAAAATAAAATTATTGTTTTTATTATTTTATAATAAAAAATAATAATATTTTAATAAAATTGGCTAGGTTATTTTTTGTTTAGAGTGGAAATGCATTCGGTCTATTACTGTTCATTAGGATCTATCACGATTTACTGAGTATATTAAATAGGCTGGATACTGACACATTTTTTTAGAGATGAACTTGCTCTTATGAGAGCCTTATGCTAATGAGACAAGGAGTTGAGAGATTGAATGACTGACTACTACTTCTTTAACACGTCGAGATTTGTCATTGCTACCAATGAGAAATCGCCACGTCAAATAAGTTGACGCGTGACTTAGACTGACAAAATTGCCACTGCATAAACTTTACAATCCTTCCACCTAGAGCCTAACAAAACTTCCGAAAAAGGTTATTTTAGTCAATTAGACGAAATCATAAATCAAAACAATAATTTTGTTTTTATTTATTTTTTGTTGGAATTCAATCACACTTATTACTGTACCCATTAAAACCGGGTATAAATATACAAAGACAAATAAAAGACCAGAAGAAAAACGAAATGGAATTATTTTGGTTCGTAAATTAAAAAATATAAAACAAAAAGAGTGTAAATGGCTCAGTGAATGGTTGTAGAAATCGCCAGATTGCAGCTTTTGATTTCATCAATTCTGTTTGATCTTCGTCGAATTCAGAGCTTCTGATCATCCTCCCATGGCTGCTCCGTTTTTCTCAACGCCTTTTCAGCCTTACGTTTACCAGGTACTCATTTTTTATTTATTAATTTATGAATACATTAATTTTTTTTTATAGTCATCTGTTTGGTTGCCGAGAAAGCTCTGGAAAAAATATAGAAAATTGGTTAATTTCCGTATCTTTTATGTTGATAAATTCAGTTGATTACTGAATTGCAGAGACTGAATTAAGCATTTGAATAAGTTATTTTTGGGTTTTTGTTTGGTTTTGATCTGGTGTTTTTGCTTCAAGTTAGGGATTTGATTCGTGTTACTCGTGTGGTGATGGTGATTGGCTAAAATTGATCTGTGTTTATCAGCTGTACTGTTTGGCTTAATTACTTTCAAAGTTTAATTCAATGTCTAAGATTTGCTTAGATAGTGTTCAGTTGGTAGATGTTTGGATGCATCTCTGCCTCTTAGTTTATGAAAATCATGTATTATGGGAAGAAATTGCGGGTACGTGGATAGTGGGTTTAGTACAAAAAATCGTGAAGAAATTAAGTAGACAGTAAGTTAAATGCTATAAAAGGTAGATTGGCATGAATTTACTCCATGGAAAATGTTGATGTGATACAAGTTCTGATCTTTTGCTGTACGGCTCACGTGCATGATCCTTCAAATCGACATTCCAACTTCAGTGGTCGGTTGAGGTGGTAAGAGGTTAATTATGCCATTAACATGTCTGGATGTACAGGTGATAGATGCTGCTTTCATGGATTGTGCTACCATTAACCTATAACTTCATCCTCCAAACGGAGATATTCAGCCACTCGTTAACGGGTCGACATGATAGTGGCTTCTATAGCCGTTCATATTTCTTTTTGTACAAGCAGAACTACTATTAAGAAAGAATGGTGAATGTATATTGACTTGTATAGAAGTATATGATTTAAACCAACACATACTTGTTCTATAGGAAGTATAAACTATACATGGACTACTCTCTACTGGTTTTTATTTCTTATATTATTATGTCTGCTACTATTTCTGCCACTTGGACATAAATTGGCAGACAAATGCAGTACTTTGAGTAGAATTCCTTCTGTCTGCAACAAGAGGCTCCTTCAACAAACCAACTTTTTTCTTTGTTTTTGCAAGATTTTGTTGAATTCCTTTTTTGGTATAAACATTGTAGTTTGATACACGGCAATCTATAATACACTTTGAATCAAAATGTCTAGTCATTGGTGGGTATGGGTAGTAATCTCATGTTAATGGTCATTACACTGGTTTATGGTGTCTGGTTTGTTCCGCAAATATTTAATTGTCAACTTTAATGGAAAAAAATGAAGTTGGATTGTGTAACTTAAACGTCACTAATGTTTGTATCTTCTATAATGTACTGTAGAGTCCACAAGATGCCGTGACACCTTTTCAAATTTTGGGCGGTGAAGCTCAACTGGTTCAGGTACATGCTATAAGAATCCCAACCTATATCATGTGTGTGTGTGTCTCCTGTCTGTATTTTCTACTCATCTTCTGAATTTCGTTTTCATCACTAGAATTAAAAACTTCTGCATTTGGTTTATCAGATAATGTTGAAGCCAGACGAAAAGGTTATAGCCAAGCCTGGTAAGTTGCAAGCCCGGGCTTTACTTTCTGTGAGGTGCATTGTCACGATGAAGTTATCTAAATTGTTTCCAAGCCCTTAGAAAACATGTAATTTGTTGTCACTATCGCATTTGCAACTGATTGAGGAATAAATTTTAGGTTCAATGTGCTTCATGTCTGGGTCGATGGAATTGGAAAATGTTTTTGTTCCTGAAAATGAAGGAAGCATGTGGCAGTGGATTTTTGGGAAGACAGTCAGTAGCATAGTTTTTCGTAATGCTGGTCAAAGTGATGGATTTGTTGGAATTGGTGCACCTTATCTTGCTAGAGTTCTCCCGGTTGGTGATTTTAAGCATGCCAAATTTATGTGAATAAAGCACTTTTTTGATTACTTAGCATTGCTCTTGACCCCATACACGGTAAATGACTTAGTTTAGTTTCGGTTGTCTGTATTTTTGTTTCTTTTGACAGATTGATTTGGCTATGTTTGGTGGAGAGATTTTGTGCCAGGTATATATAATTTTTCTGTTGAGTAACTGTTTCCTGTCAGTTTCTGTTATTCTCCCAGTTTTCAGTGAACAAATTTAGCTATTCCATGCTTTCTGTTACAGTCAATTTATACTAGTCTTAATCAGCTGGAAATTTATGGAGTTCGTTACAATTTTTGTAGCCAGATGCATTCCTTTGTTCTGTGAATGATGTTAAAGTCAGTAATACACTCGACCAAAGGGCACGTAATGTTATTCCTGGTCCAGAGGTGAGATATGACGGAAGTTTCAGAATTTCTTCTTTTGAATTTTCTTAGACTGCTCTTACAATCAACCAATTTCCCTTTTCCTTTTTCTAATTCGTCACTTTAATTGTTTCTCAAAGCCATTTGTATTATCTTTATCTTTCTGACGGCTGTGATAACACTATTACAGATATTTCTAAGACAGAAGCTGTCTGGCCGAGGTCTTGCATTTATCCTTGGAGGTGGATCTGGTAAGTGTTTAAATTTCAGATTCACCCTTTTAAAATTTGGGTGTGCCCCAATATCTGCAGAGAATTTCAGTTCTTGCTTTAAAGTGAAGGCATTTTATGCCTGTTGAAGGTTTACATTTCTCGGTGGTTTATTTCCATGTTTTCCATAATTTGTTCAGTCATTTAGTTTCTAATTCTCAATTCAGATGTGTTGGTGTACTTTCCAAATCGGATTACCTTCATTTTTGTCACCTTTTTCGTTTCTGTTTTTGATCTGACAGGTTGCCTTGAATTCCAAACCAACCTGTTTATAGTTTTTTTTTATTTTTTATTATTATAAATTTTTATGCATGAGAAAATAAAGTGAAAAGACTGATTACCTCTTCTTGGAAAATATAAGGTGCCATTTGATAACCACTATGTTATCAATTATCAGTTTTGTTTTCACTTTTTCTGAAAACTGAAAACTTGAATAATGAAAACTAAAAACTCAAAACAAAATGGTTATCCAAGAACCCCTAAATTAGCTAGGATTAAGGATTACTTTAGTTATGGAAGGATTTATCACCCTAAGACTAATTGGAAGCCTTTCTGGTTTCACCTTTTGCCAGTTGTACAGAAAAATCTTGAAGTGGGCGAGGTGTTATCTGTTGATGTGTCTTGTATAGCTGCCGTGACTGCAACAGTTAATATCCAAATCAAATTCAGTGGTACCATGAGAAGAGCACTGTTTGGTGTAAGTTGCTTCCATTTCCTTCAGTTTGCACTCTTTTTTAGTGCTTGTGTTTATATTATGAGCTGTTAATGCAACTGAAAGATTCAGGAATTGCTTTGGACCACATTGAACAAAATTAGCGTCATCCTTGTATAGTTGCATTGCATTTAAAATATTGCTGTCCAAATTTATCGGCATGACACATAAAAGGCAATTTAATAATTTTAATTGAACCATCCCCGGCGGATTATTAAAAGAATCCTCCCCCAAGCTGAAAAAGATACTTTGAGTGAAAACCTTTTCTAATATGCTTTCCAGCTCCCTAAATTATATAACTTAAGCATGCTATTTCTTTCCATTTCCAATTTCCAAGAATCAAGTATTCCTAACAGTTGACCGAATCACAGAGTGACAATCTGGTAACTGCTGTTCTAACTGGGCCAGGCATCGTCTTCATTCAGAGTTTACCTTTTCATCGATTTTCTCAGCGTATTGCTAGGTAACTGTTTATTTTGCAACCATATATTCCGCAGAGATAGTCAAGTACCTGAACTTAATCGGTTTCTCTTCTCCAACATTTTGCTCAGTTTCATCTGCTGACTTCTGCTTTATTTCTAGCTTTAACAAATAGAATGTATGGTTTTGTTTACAGGGCTGTTACATCTCCAAACATGAGGGAAAATCCGAAGTTCTACGTGCAGATAGCCATTTTCTTTTTCCTGGCATATGTTGTGATTGTATCTTCGTTAATCTTGACCGATGTATGAATTTCACTTTTTTTTTCCTTTTCATCTTCGATCCACAGAGATGCCAGTATCATATCCGTTGTTTTTCAACAGTGGTTTCTGTAGCTCAAGTCGATTTCAACATGATCAGATCAATAGATACAGAAGATTTTAGATTTTTGTCACTTGGATTTCTGTTTTACTTTGCCTAAAATTCTCGGTCAATCATAGGCTTGTAGACGAGTTCCTGACTAATCCGTACTGTGAAGTCATGATTGAGTTGTAAATTAAAGCCTTGCGTTATGTTTTCTGAGTTTCCTTTTACTCGCAAATTAGCCTGCGAGTAATTTGTTCATTTGCTTACTAAGCGTCGATGTCTGATTATGTTTCGAACACTGAAATATGAACCAAACAAAACAAAGTGACTCAATTGAAGTGAAATTTGTAGGTATATATTGCAGATTATTGAGAGCTTACAAGTATCAGACATACATTACTTCTAGTTGGCTTGCTGCCACTCTACTCAAATAAACTAAACTCTCTAAAATAAAATCTGCAGCTATTGAAAGCTAATGAATCAAATGCAGTTAAATGCACACATTATTCGTGTCAAATCTAGGCGAAAATAAGAGAATTTGATGCAGGCAGGATATTGCTTTGTCTCAAAGGGATGGCTCGTGGAATCTTGTAGTTGCCAACGAAGAAAGGATGCCGTAGTGCCTCAGCAGCAGTAGGCCTCGCGGAAGGGTCCCAAGAACAAAGGGAAGAAATCAACTGGATGGCAGATCTGCTTGCAGAAGGAATCATCGCAGATAGACCAACCCCGCCAATTTTTGGAAACTGATAGTTCAAGTTTTGGGCAAGAAGCTGTCCCTCTGGCCATGACTCCCAAGTGGGACTGCCTATAACACTGCAAATCTTGAACATCTGATCATCAGCACTTTCACCGGGAAATAGAGGCCGGAATGAAAACAGCTCCGCTATGATGGCACCCATTGCCCACATATCGACCTTAGGACCATACAAGCCTGACCGAAGCAACACCTCAGGAGCACGATACGGACGAGTAGTGACGTAGTCTGTATAGGGAGGAGGTGAATCAATCTCCTTAGCCGAACCCAAATCTGCAATCTTGACCACACGCGCACCATCCTTAACCAACACATTAGCGGGCTTCAAATCACGGTGGAAATAGCCGTTTCTGTGCGTATAAGCCAGGCCCTGAAACATCTGAAAGCAGATGCTTCTAACTTCTTCCTCGGTGAATTTGGTTCGCCTTTTCATCATAAGATCAAGCAGACTGCTCTGCATATACTCAAAGACAAGGAATGCAGAATCGTTTTCGAAGATGACATCCTTCAACTGGACAATGTTGGGGTGCCTGAGCTTGGAAAGGGACTGAACTTCCGGTAGGTTTAGGCACTGCTCAAAGGAACTGAATGTCTCCCTCAGATACTTGACTGCAACGACTTCACCCGTCGGTTGGTGCTGCGCCTCAAATACCATTCCGAAAGAACCACCGCCTAGTTGCTTAGTAATCCAAAACTTGTCCATGATCGGGTTGTAACTCGTAAGGAACCGAACCAACCCTCCAACAGTTAATGTGGGGCTAAACTAAACCCGTCAACGCCAAGGAACTAGTTGCGATCTCTGAGGAAAACCCTAGAACGTATGAACAATTGAACACTGATTAGGGTTCCTGAGAACAGAAGACTTGAAAGTTGAGAGCTTTTGGAATAACGAGAGAGAGAGAGAAGCAAGTTGGTAATTGTGGTTTGAGATTCGGGAAATTATGGAAAGTGTGGAAATTAGGGTTCCAATTTATAGCTTCTTTCATTCCATTATCTCCCGATTGAACAAGGAAACGCGGCAAGCAAGCAACTCACTCGGTTTAATTGGATTGCAACTCACGTGGCTTAATTGTATTGGTAGTTCCATTCGTGTAACGCAAGCAACCTCACTCTCCCAGTTGCTAGTTGCTAGTTGCTAATTGCTACTTAACTCCACTGCGATAGGGAAAGGGCTTTTTCGTAAATTGGTTTGACTTTGGGCACAAGGATAGGATTTTCCAACGGTCAGGATTTTCTAAAACTCCTTTTCACATGGATCAATAGCTGTCAACGGTCCAGATATTATAAAACATTAAAACATTAAAAAATTAAAAGGGTGTGGGAGAAGTAATTTGGGATGTGCAAGTATAATCTCCAAAAAACAAAACCAATCCCCTCACAACAACAAAGCTTTATCTTTCATATTTTTTTTTTTTTTGAACAAACGATATTATCTATACTAAGAGGAAGGGGGTGAGTTTAGCCTCATAATGAGTTGGCAACAATTTGGTTCCAATTCACCTTTGACGAGACTTGAACTTGAGACCTCTTACTTTTTTTTTATTTAGTTTTATTATCTACATTAAAGGAGAGGGGTAGGCTTAGCCTCACAATGGGCTAGCAATACCACTAAACCGTAGGCTATTGACTTCTCACTTACAAATGAAGAGGAATACTACTAGACCGGAATATTAAGTGACCTAATTCTTCTAATTAATTACGCAACTTTAGGCTTATTTAGAGCATCAACTAAGTGGGGGTGTCAAAGTGCTCTAACCGAAGGGTTATGTCGTCAAAGTGCTCTAACCGAAGGGTTACATCCAAGGCCGGCCCTGAGAATTTAGGGGCCCTAGGCAAGCCTTCGAAGTGGGCCTCTAAAATTCTATGATCTTTGGTTCTTTGTACATTTATTTGTATAAAAAAGAATTCGCTAAATACATAAAAAAATTTATTTTCATATCAAATATCATTAAAAATTAATATTAAAAGAAGATAAATGTACAAACATTCTTTAAACATTACACGATTCATGTTTTTAGACACAAATGTACTAAATGTTTACAGTCAAGAGTCTAAGATTGAGAGTGAAGAACAATAAAACTTGATTGACAAGTATAATAAATTCAACGCCAATTGTTTCTCTTGTTTTTTTTTTCTTCTAAAATCAACATCACACTAACGAATTGAATATTAAAATAATCCATTGAATAAAAAGTTATTGAGAAGAAAAATATAAATTCAAAATTTTTATTACCTTAAAGTACAATCTTTAAGACCATATGATAGTTGGTTTAAACATTCAATATAAATGGAGAGAATGAGAAGTTGGTTTAAACATTCAACAGAAACGGAGAGAATGAGAAGTTGAAAGAAAAAAAAAGATCACAAAGAGACTTGAGTTTTATAACTTTATATGCATTTGGACAAATGGATTGAGAGTTGGACAGATGGATTGGGAGTTGGACAGATGGATTGGCAATAAATTTGAAAATCAAGAAAAATCTAGTGACTGAAAGGCAGCATCATGTTTCGAAGTCAACACTCCAAAAAAAAATGAAGCCAACATTTCCACTGCACTAACAAATGAATTATGATATTTCTTACTTTTTTTTTGTATTTATATGTTAATTACAGGATATAAAACTTTTTTGGGGCCTTTCCAAAGTGGGAGCCTTAGGTGGGCGCCTACTTGGGCTACCCTCAGGGCCGCCCCTGATTACGTCTGACTAGGATTTGAAGGCAAGAAGTAGGATGCCCTTCAGCAACTAACTGATGTGTCAAATCCCGTTTCATCAATTTTTTAATATGCATGTCTCATAAGGTTAGATGCTCATTTGCCTTGAAGACAATATGTCTACTAGTTTGCAGATCGCGTTTTGCTGCAGTGGCAAAAAACAAGTGTATATACACTCTAATGCAGATTTCATTTTCACCGATCATCTTTTCTTTAACAACTAACAATTTAACCCACTAACGCTATCGCTTATCAAACAATTTTTTTTTTACTCGTTCACCTTTAATAGTCAAGTTCAAATCTTTTGTGGTCGATTTTCATGTGTCCTATCTAATTAATCGACACATGTTCTCTTACTAAACCCTCATATAATAGGGTTAAGTAAAATACGATCAAATAGAATATATAGAGAATATTTTTAATAGAATATATAGAGAATATTTTTAAGAATGATTTTGTATAAAATCAATAAAATATTACAAAATCAAGCGCATGTCAACAATATTTATTTAATTATAAACATGTCAATCATGTATTGTGATACTCAAATGCCATTTAAAATAATAAAAAATTTCAAAATCTGCCACTTATGACACACCCCGACCCAGAATGTCCACTAGGACCCCGAATCGAGCCGTACTGGTCGACACCTGGAAGGTGACGAAGCCATAAAGTGTGATAATGTATAAAATGTGAATAAATTAAAATCTAAAAGTGCCTAAGTACACAAGTGCGCGGTGAGCGGGTTTGGGCCCATTTCGCGCATGATACAAAGCATAAGTAAAGTACAATAAGTAAGATAATGATTATACCATCATAAGAAGCCACCTACACTTGGAAGTGGCACGAATCCTCGTGATACGGAACTCTGATGCTAGAACCTGGAGGGGTACAAAAACAGAAAATGTGAGTGAGTGAAACAAAACTCTTCAAACCAATTTCAACTACCAACGATAGTAGCCCTTTGCCGCAATACTTGCTTAATTTCCCAGAAAATAACAGGCGTGACTATAAATCAAGACCATAACCAAAATGATAGTCTTACGGTTATGCTATGTCAATTATCTTAATAGGAATGAGTAACTTAGGTGAATTAAACCAATAGGAAATGGCATGTTAGTCGGATCCACCCATCATGTACGGTTGAATCAATATTTCATCCCATATATGCTAGCATCTCATCACATATCTCATCATAAATAGATACTAGCATCTCATCATATATCACCACATTTATGCTAGCATTTCATCACATATCTCATCATAAATATATACTAGCATTTCATCACATATCTCATCATAAATATATGCTAGCATCTCATCATATATCACCACATTTATGCTAGCATTTCATCACATATCTCATCATAAATATATGCTAGCATTTCATCACATATCTATCTCATCATAAATATATGCTAGCATCTCATCATATATCACCACATTTATGCTAGCATTTCATCACATATCTCATCATAAATATATGCTAGCATTTCATCACATATCTCATCATAAATGTATGCTATATATCACCACATTTATGCTAGCATTTCATCACATATCTCATCATAAATATATGCAAGCATTTCATCACATATCTCATCATAAATATATGCTAGCATCTCATCATATATCACCACATTTATGCTAGCATTTCATCACATATCTCATCATATATCTCTTCAATCATGGCTAGCATATAAGTCGGAGTCATCTTTAGTGACTTGTACGACATATTCATATCTCATC